TTCACAATTTGCGTATATTATACATTTGCATAAATTAAGTTTTTTTCGCATAAACGTGATAAACTTTTGGAGGATACACGTTCGTACGTACGTACGTACATGCGTACGCACGCATACTTATTATCCTTGCATGGTGACACCAAAATGTTAGATAAAGCTATATACTATACATAAAAAAAGTTAGGCATAATCTAAACGGCACATCATTCATTATTATGTGACATTAGTTGCATTGATAAAAGGGCGTTTTCATGAGCTTTAAGCAGTAAAGATCCTTACTAAGCTAGTTAATTTCATAATTAGACATATTAATGATAGAATATCGATATTAATATCTTTAACGTTTAGTATAGTTCAAAATTTTTTTTTTTTTTGGATCTACGTGACGTGTATATATGTATGCATGTACGTTGAAAAGGCAAAATGACTTTCGGTAATGCAATGATAAGCAACAACTAATATTACCTAAAACACAACATTCTACCTCCTATTGGAAATATCCCGATCGAGGCGTGAAAACCCTTTGAATAGGGATTAATTAGGGTTTATTGGATTTTAAAGCTCTAGATTACATCACGAGCTTACAAATTCTAAAGTCACAGATTAAATTATTGATAATTTCTAGAGAAAACACGTTAATTTAGAATTAAATATAGTTCGAGCTGTCTTTATTTAAGAGAATACGTTCTATATATACAGGAATAACGAGAATTCTACTTCTTATTTATTTCAAGCTGTTTTTTTGAATTCCTACTATTCTCTTCTACGAATTCATGCAATTCTTCAAATACTAAAATTTAAATGTAATGACAGCAATTCCCAGAAAACTAAGACTTTGTATCAAATCAGGGAGTAGTACATTTATTTCATTACACAACCATGAAGACTACTAAAAGAAGGTGCGGAATAATTTGACACAAGAATCAAATTTTACTAAATATAATGATAAGGTTATTAAATAAAGAAATGGTATCATTAATATTTCTGACTGTTGGTACAGAGTTATTCTTTATTGTTCATAATTCACGGAACGCCTTTTCGTAATATTAAAATACACGGAGTAATATGTTTTGAATAAGCCTCTCTTTCAAATATTAACGGATTTTTAACCTTGACTTGGTTCGTGACTTCAACAGTGGTTTGATCCGTAACTCTAATAATGGTTTGGTTTGGTGGTTTA